CGTGACCTTCCGTCCCAAGAGATAACGCTCTCACAACGTCCCAACGGTACGCGCGAAAGTTCGATCACTCGGAAGGTTGGCGGTGAAGAGATCCGCAGATTTAAGCATCGATGTCGTATGCCCACCTACCTGGCACAAGATCGCGTCGCACACCTTAGGTACTTCGCTCAAGCCAGACCCTTGCCCGTCATCAACATCGTCTGTTTCATGTGGTGTTTCAGTCTCTCAAAATTGAATTCGAGCCGATATTTGTTGGACTGCATCTTCCGCTCATCCCGCGTCTGATTCCACTCAAGCACACTTAACATGTGATGAGCATACTTTTCGGCTTCCTTGAAAAGGTCGCCAAAGCTTTTTGGATGAAGCTGTGCATGTACGATGTGTGCTGAACTGTGCCCCCACCTCCACAGCTCTCGTTCATCCGCATTGGTCCGAGGAGTGTTGTATGCCTGGCGGAGCTTTTCGTCCAGTTCTGTAGCCGACAAACTATTTTTCGTACTTGGTTGCTCGTGGATGATGTATTGCTCGTTGATTTGAATAACATTCTGCAGCCTTGCCGTGCCTCCCGGATGTTTCAGAATGTATGTCGAGGTATTGAACATGGCCTTGATCTGTATGCGTATTTGTGGTTTTTCGGGTTTCGACTCCACTTCTGGACCGAGGGTTGGATCAAAGTACGGCAACAGGGGGTTGCCGTCGATGCCATCATATCTCACATACAAGCCTTGTGTTAAGACGAATTGTCCTTTCGCAAAGCGAAACTTCTCGTGAAATAATTTGTCCCCGAAGACTCCAATTGTTGTCACCCAAAAGAAAAGTTGGGTCCGCATCCCGCAGTCTAGTGTCGCAGGTCCAGCCAGAACGTCGTAGAGGCCTTCACTAAGAGGGGCTTCTCCATGGTAGGAGTATACAACGCAAGATTGTCTTATCTCAGGAGTCCAGCCCGGGGGACATACCCATTGGAAATAAAAATCATCATCTGAGGCCGTAATGGGTAGCCGCGCATATGTTTGGTTCCACAGTTCCATGAACGAAGCTGGGTAGTGTAGGCCTTTCAAATCATTCTCGTAGTACTCTTCCCTTCCAGGTCCACATATATGGGCTAATTTTCTCAGATACTCGGCAAAGATCGAGATGTCCCAAACAGGCGAGCCCAGCTTTAGTGTCTCCAAAAATCGCCGTAAAGGCTGTGACGGTTCCTCTTTTTGTAGCCTTGATAGAATATTGGTTCTTTCTTCTTCGTCCTCTTCGGAAAGGCAACTGGTCGTGAAAGACGGCGCCAAGGATGACAAGGTTGAGAAATTCGATGCGGCCCACCCACAGATCCCGATGCATTGTTCAATGGTTGCTCTTTCCTCTTTCAACTCTGCACTGATATCCAACACATTATCCTCAGTAAGAGACTGCGCTGACTGTTCGTCGATTCGTTGTAGCTGAAGTTCGAGGTTGTACGTGGTGTCCTGGATCATTCCATAGTTAATAACGCAGTGTTTCCTAGGTGCGCAAATGTTAGCAAAAGTTATAAGAGTAGGCATTTAGCAACAACCTTGCCACACCCAGCGCGACTAACACAGTGCACTTGTATGCTTTGAATCTTTCAATGTAGTCATTGATGCCGAACCCCATATATTCCATCTTGACCCAGTCACGCAAGCGTGTCGGTGAGTCTATACCGAAAGCCTTTATCGTCAATTCGGCCCTTTGGCATAATTTGGTACATCTTTCGACAGGGCCCAATGGAGGTACTAATGCTGACTCTTGTATAGACACTTCGATCAACAGCTTAAGGACCTCCGTCAAGTCCCTAAGCTCATTTTGAAGTCTCCGTAGAGTTCGGTCGCGATCGTTGTATCCACCCGTAGTAGAGCGTAGTGATGTCGCGGATTGAAGAACGATCTGCAAGATTTCGCATAACGAGGTCGTGATCTCTGTAGGGTCTGGCATCTTGGAACCCCGTTGAACGCTTTTTGTGAATTGGACCACGACTGACAGAACGCTGACTAGGAGGAAATGGTAGCTTCTGTACTCTACTGGACTCCCTTGCCAACGCGTCTTAAATAATTGGGTCAGCGCTAGAGCTGCACCATCGCCACGGCGCTAACTTCCAGGCCCGCCTCCCAGACACAATCGCCAATCAACTACGCCCTCTGGCGGCGCAAGGCTGAAACTGGAGCGGGGCGTCCCGTGAACGTTCGACATCGGGGGTTCTTCAAACGCCAACCTTGACGTCGATCATAGTCGCCGTGGTTCCAGCCACCGACTCGGTGTCGGCTTCCTTCAACACTCTGAATTTCCAAGCCTTCCGCCAGAGGAGTCGTATCTGGGAGGCGCAACTGCGACAACAATTGCTCATACCATTAGATCATAGTAGGTCTGCACTTATCGTTGGCGAACTTTCAGTGCGCTTCTAGTCGTATGTCATTTAGACGCGACCTTGTACGCTGTTCAGCCTTCCCGATGAAATTTGGTCATTGACGGGAAGGTGAACACGATCCGTGTATTACGTTTATACCCCTCAACAGCTAACAGATCCGGTGTCTCCGTATGGCTGAGAAATACACGTTTGCCTCCAAGGCTAGCGAACTTTCACCCACCGTGTTTACGTGTTCACGGAGCTGCCTGCCTTGGTGAAGCTATATTACTGTGCTACAGCCCTCTGAACAACCCCGCCAACGACTGGCATCATTTCCAAAACACGGGACGAAAGCAGCGTCACCCAAATGCATCAGCAAGACCGACCCTCGGCAACCATCTCGGCCACGGCTGTCATGGTCTCCATCAAGCATCAGCCACTACCAATCTCTCCACCATCCACGCCTCCGGGCACGCCAACACCGGCGAACCCCCGCTGCCCACTATGTGGGGCTGGCAATCCTCATCTGACGAAATACATTACGAGGACGAGCAATCGTAACGCCAACGCTGGCCGCCCATACTTACGATGCGACCCTTGCAACCGATTCGTCACCTTCACCGACAAGCGAGGTGTTCACGAAGTGAACCCGCACTGCCAATGCGATAAGCCGAGTCGCATCCAAGTTGCCAGCAAGCATAAGGGTAGAGGCCTTCACTTCGTCTGCAGTACCGGGGTATGCAAGTTCTACGAGGAAGCCAAAGACGAAGCCGGGAAAATCAGTCTGATGGATGAGCAGATGGTGAAGCAGCTAGCAAGCCTGAAATTGATCTGAGAAAGTGGCGGAATAAGTCCATCGAAGAGAACAAGGGGTGATGTCCAGAGGAGACAGTTCATTGGCCACAGGTACTGTCATGCAGATAGCTGAATCGTAATGCAGACAGCCGCTAGTGCCACCCGCCTAGTTTCAACCTCATTCGGTCACATATAAACCCGGACTAAGTTCTTTGCCCTGCACTCACCACGTCTACTCTTCATAATACTTCAACCCTTGGCCCGTGCTGCAACCAAGCTTCACTATTGTAGCACGCCACCTTCCAGTCCATATCTCCACATGCTGTCCACCTCTGTTCCAACACATTGATCGGGCGTTACGGTGCACATGTATTCGCCCACCAACAGTTCCTTGTAGACCGCTTTGGCGTCGACCGCGGCTGTTTCTCCCTTCCCATCCCCGAGGAGCGGTACTTGCCTACCCTTTACCGTCTTCACACTCTCCACCCACATGTCTGGACCAACGAGCTGACAGGCAGCTTGCAGTACATTAATCGGATCCACCCTTGGTCTACCACCTTTATCAATGACAGCCTGACGCTTGCTGGCCCAACAATCTCTCTTGCTGCGGCACCTGGTACCATAACTCTCTCTCGAAAGACACTGCGATGACGAGACTTTGACAGCCGACACACGACATCACAAAGAAGCTGCGAACGGTGGACGGCACTGTGGTTTCCCTGCTATCGACCGAAATGGCGACGCTCACGACATCGCCATTGTCGCTGCATTCTTCGCTAGAAGATTCTCGAGGCGTTGCGTGTTGGTGGACAATGCCATCGCGGCCTGTGTCTTCTCCACTGGTCGTTGGAAATACGAACTCATATCCTTCGGCGGTACCGAGTGCATCGAGGCCTGGCACTACCGGTTCCAGTACTGGCATGTTCACCGAACCGTCGTCTTGAAAGGGTGGAGTATGAGCAACTTCGGGTGTGCTCGAGCTCATCGGGGCGCTTTTCCTGCTATTTTTCCCGCCGGCTGAACTCGTGGGTACGTCCTTGAGACTGAGTGCTTCCAATATTTTGGCGTACAGCTCCGACTTGACCTGCTTGTCTTTTACTGCTGCCAATACCTCTGCTGCTTTTGTGTATTGTCTCTGTCTCTCCTCGTGGATTTCATTGGCCGCGACGACTTTTGCGCTCTTTCCAGTGGCCTTGCTCTTCTTCGCCATTGTCACGGTGTGCCGTTTTCGATGTATAATACAAAGATGAATCTCTGTGAAGCGAGATTCAAAACAGAAGTCGAGCGGGGACAGCTGTCACTGATAGATATCATGCCGTCGATTGGCACGTGCTGGGTGTAGGTTCATAATGTCTGAGAGGTTCCGTCGTTGCGGTCAACCTCCACTTCTAGACCAACACCGTTCTTCCCTTCCCTCTATGCACCGCATTCGGGCCCAAAATGGCTACTGATCCTCGTGCGTACAAGAAGCACGTTCTCGAGTAGGACTGACATGTAACTCAAGTCTCGTTGTTTGCTAATTGTGACCAGGCTTCGTGGCAGACCAGTGACGCTCGTGGTTGGAGAAGAGTCTCAGCAGCAGTTCGTCCATGAAGAATGACTGTCCAAGAATTCGGAGTTCTTCGCTGCCGCCTTGAAGAAGGAATGGCAAGAAGGTCAAAAGCGACAGGTCCCACTTCCTGCCGACCGCCCCAAAGTTGTCGACCTCTACGTGCACTGGCTATACACTGGAAAGATATTTGTTCGACCACTCCTCGAAGAGACTGGAGAGAACAACACGGAAAGTGCTATTATTGTCGAACTGTTCTTGTTCGGTGAGAAGGTCCAGGACGGCAACCTTAAGGACGCCGCTATCGACGCTCTGATCATGGCGACAAACACTCAAGACAAGGATCAGAAACTGTGGTACCCAACAAACACCATCGAAGATGCGTACAATGGAACTCCAGCAAGTTCGCCGCTTCGTCGACTCCTAGTCGATATGTACATCTCCCACGGACATGGCCCATGGATCAAAGGCACAGAGCCAATAGAGTTCTTAGTGGACCTAAGTCGAGCACTTATCGACTCTCGTCGCGATAAACCGAACCCCCGATCCGACCAGCTCAAAGGTCAGCAGCTGTCAATACCACCATCATACAAAGGATGTAAAATGTTATGTAGCAAATCGAGTGTAGATGCGATGCATACCTTGTTGTACGTCTCTTCTGTGTTCTCGTTCTATGCACGCCCGTTGTAGCTTCAAACCTTGCTTTTGACAACAAATACTACTTTTGCAAACACGAGTATAATTACAACGCTCTATGTCTTCGTCTATCTGAGTATAGGGTGTATCGATTGATTTGGTCTTAGATCAACATATTTCTTTCGCAACGAGATTGGAGTACTAGAAAGGCAAGCGATCCACCGTTTGTCGTTCAAACGATCCACCGTCTAACCCCAACTTTAGCGCGAGAATGGCCCCTTCGTCTCCCGCTTTTTTGCCTCCATACCGAGGATGTTGCATCCGACGCCTGCCGGTCTCACTCGAGCCAAGATGTGGAGCAACGGTCCAACTCGACCTGCACATCTTAGGCTCCCATTGATACTCGAACATACAAGGTACAATGTGGCTGCTCCAAGTCCATGTTATCTTATCAAAGCTCCTGCCGTTCAGTTAGACTTCGCTACCCTGACTTTCCCCGCCTACACCATGACCACCCCATTCAGTGGACGTGACTTTACCGACTGACGAATGGCTGAGTGATACCCAAATGTCGACTTTTCTACCCCTCAAGATTTGATAGGTTCGATTTCTGATAAAGAACAGAGATACCATGTTTGCCTTCAAGGCTGGCAAACCTTTGTCGATCATGCGTGCGTACTCGCGCAGCTGCCTATCCGAACGGTGCAGATATAACGCGAGACCTACCGAACAGGCCCGCCGACGACAAGAATCATTTCCACACACGAGGCCGAAACAGTGCCATTGAGATGCGTCAACAGGTCCGATCCTCGGCCACCATCTCGACCACAGCAATTCCTGTGATTTCCGTTCCTCGTGCAGGTTGGCCTCCAGTAATATGCACAAGTAACAGGAGCACCTCGAGGAACGCATTCGCAGTCCTTTTGTACGCACTCAACCTAGACATGCTCCAGGTCATTTTCTGATTGACATCAGAAGTACGGAACTGCTCCTGTAGCGGCTTCTCAGCGAGCACACGTTTCAGCAGCCAGGTACTGCCTCCTCGCAGAACGTTTTGGTTCCGTGGGTCGTGAAGGAAGTTCCAGCCTGGGGAGACGTCTGCGGGGTTGTCTCGAAGCTGGGATATTGGAAGCGGAGGGACTACATCACCTCGTTCATCGTCAACCCCTACGAACAAATGTTCCTCAAGTAACTGCTGCGCCTGATAGACTTGTTGACCGACGAAGTCCCGGAATCCGTCAACAGACATCTGGATCTGGCAATAGAAGATGATCTGTGCATCGTCCGACCAGCGGACATGGCCGATCGATGTAGTGCTATCGCGGATCCGCTTGCCAAAGGCACGCAATTGGAGAGCCCACGTGAAAGGAGTCGGATTATCGAGCGTCATGAAACGTAGGCGCATTTCGTCCAGGGCATACAGGGGGTCGGGAGCGGAGCCGTCTTCGACGGTGACAATCGCTTTGTGAAGCACTAGAAGCTGAGCGATCTTGATAAAGGCCGAGAGCTTCGGAGTATATCGCACGGCATCGGAGAATGTGTCGTTCGCTTCGTCGATTCCGAGCACAGCAAAGAAGCTAACAAGAGCAGAGTTGAAGATCTTGCCCGTTGGGCGTGGTCGAGAAGGGAAATGCACAGATCCAGACACTTGCGGTCTAGCAGCTCAATCGTGCCATCCGAGGTAGCGATACGTTGTTCCGCGAGTGAGAGAGTGCTGTCCAGTAGGGCACTCTGTTCGCTAGTCAGATAGTGTGAAAGCCGAACATCCTCGGTTCCCTGGACGGACCGGCAGACGAATGCAAGTGCTCGTTTGCAGACCATCTTATACTGTCGGTAGGACCCGTCCTGTAGTTTGAAGACTAGTGATATGCTATAGACTTCTCTCCCAGGGATAAAGGACGTGATCCGCTTTTGCCCAAAGAAGTTGATCTTGTCTTCGCAGACCTCCTTGTACGCAGCCTCGATCAGTCGGTCGAGCGACTGGCTAAGCTCTAGGAGAACTGGTTTGTCGACAGCGCAAGCTGGACGCCCCAGCCGGGCTGCTTGGGCGAGCGAAATGCCGTCGAAGTACTGGGGCCAGCGCGTTCGCTCGAGCCATGGTGACACCTGCGGACCCTTGCCCAGCTGTGACCTTACCGGTGCTTGCCGACGTTGGTCTTCTTCCAGCTGTTCCAACTCCGCCAAGACTTCTGCAGCTGTTGTTCGATCTCTCTGACAAGATCCTCGGAATGTGTCGTCCGATCTCTCTGGCCGGACTCTTGGTAGTTCATCGTCTGATGGCTCTGGCCAGCGTCTTGGTGCAAAGACGCCCCGGCCAAATGTCGCCCGAGTTCGTCTTTATGTCTTGTCCCAGGAACTGTTACCCGAAAGAGTTTTCTTCCCCTACCCTTAGGGAAGAACCGCTGGTAGTATACCACAGTCCATGCAGCCTGGTCCCCATAATGCTCACGATCGATTCGCTCTTTAAGCTGACCTTTGGCAGTGCCTGTTATTCCGCCTCGATGTCGACGTTTGACGGCATGATGCTCGTTGAAATGTTGATTTGCAGTCGCGCGAGCAGGCACGACGGAGGCACAGTAAGTACATCCAAAGCCCGTGAAGATTTCTAACGATCCGAGCGCTACATCCCTAGGGTTAGGATATGTCATCGGCTCTTGATGAGGCTGCAGGGGCGGAGAGGCGAGCTCCGGCGCTGCTCGTGGGTGGGAGGTGTACAGATGCCGAGCATAACGTCGAGGATGGAGCCCGATCTTGCAAGCCTTGCAGCAGAGAATGCGATATTCAGGGTAGTATTCAAGGAGGTCCATAGTCACATGATTAGGCCTTGAACAAGTAGAGGTCTTCTATCAAACGCGTACGCGCGCTGCAGTACCGTTGCGCGTGAATGACGCGCTAGCGGCGCCTTCCGCGCTACGCACTGATTGGTAGATCAAACAATTCACGATGGATTGTTCGAGGTATGAGTGTCCAGGCTGAACAACCGTGTATATAGCTCTAACGCTTGCTCGCCCGCAACTCTCCAGTCACCTGTATTACGCATGTGAGAATGGGACTCGGGCAGTAATAATATGCTGTTGTATGGCTATGGTACGTGGTACTATTTGGTCAATGCGTGGCCGAATAACGGTGCACTCTCCTATCATTGCCCGCGAACTTCATTCACCTACAACTTCCTATTTGGGACAACCCTAACGCCCGACCCTACATACCCTAACCGCACCTTCTACTAGCCCCGATCCTGCTTTAATAAATACTACATGGTTCGAAGAAGGGCGCGAAAGCTTTTGTCGTGAATCGGAAGGGAACACGGTCTTGCGATTTTGTTCTTAGCTTGCGTTCTTGAATGCGCTGGCGAAGTTGACACGCTTCTGCTTCTAATGTAATATCTGCTGGAAGCTTGATCGGAACTGCTAGAAGACTACAAAGGATTCAGAAACGGGACTATCCAGTTTTGCCGAGTGAGTAGTTCTTCACTCACGAAATCTGACAACACTGACTTACTTGATTTGCGCCGAAGTTCGCCTAGCACAACAGGTCAAATCCAGACATTGAGACAAACGCAAAGTCGCACTTTCCACGCACTGGATGCACGATTTCCCACAAGGTTCCATGTGAGTCACTAAGCGGTAACAGCAGATCCAAAACCAAAATACTTCGTTCTGGAGATCGAACCCAGCTATCATGCAGCATTCCTCGAGCGCGAGAATGCTCGCAGACCGTTGAAAATAATGTATCCTTACGGACGACATCTCGAGCCGTCATATATCGATTTAGGGAGTCCGCAAAACTCCAGAACCATGCTTTCGTATGGCCTCGGAAGCGGGCTTATCGACTTCATACTGGAAGAACAGGCGTTCGTATTGACGGGCGGCCAAAGCACAATGCCCGGGATCCCTCCTTTACCACGACGAGAAGGAATTCTTGCTTCGCTTGTCTTGTCTCAACATCCTCTACTTACTTCGACATTCCCGAGCCTGTGAGTCGGAGGGGCCCTTCCTCCCCATCTGTTCTTACGAGTACTGCTCCAATGTCGCCGCCAGTCTTTAGCAACACTGTCATCCATTCGAAGTCCAGTAGCGACGCAGAGAATAAAAAGCTGTTTCACGGGGATGAGAAAAAAGTTGATAGCATACTTTCGGAACTGGAAGCTGCAAGGAAGAGGATGGCAAATAGTATGAAGCGGTCTATAGCAGGTCTGAAAATTGGGGAGGTCTGTAAATAGTATTAAGGCCAAGGGTCAGGTCTGAAGAGGGTCCTAGGTTGACAGCTGCTGTCATTGGTGACAAAGTCGAAGGCGACTCATGTTGACTGGCATAATGATCCTCGTATGGCCTCAGCCTCAATTTACTCTCATGAAAATGATTGGTCGTGTTCGTCTTTAGAACGGTTACTCCCAGACAATCAAGAATTCTAGCTCAATGTTCGCATCGGGCGGTTGCGACAGCAGCTTCCTGATCAGCGCGCGAAGGGCTATGCGTCCAGAATCTTCGTCGCGCTTGATACGCGGCATGAGGACCTTGCCCTTCAGAGGCGTCAAAGCCTTGATCTTGACTTCTTTCACTCGGCTGCTGTTCCCATCGACCGCCCGCAACTCGTCTGGCATCTGGGTTTCAATGAGGGAGAAAAAGTCGTCAACGGTCTTGCACTGCAAGAAGGCTCCCATTGACAGATGATCAGAGTAGTTGAAGTTACGAGCCCAGTCAATTTCGATAGAGATCTGTTCAAGACAGTTGGCCTGAACTGCGTCCATGTATTTGATAAGACTGAGATCGCGGCGAGGAGGATGTGACTGATCCAAGCCACTACCAGTCCAGTGCGAGTGTGTTGGAGGAGGTTGTTCTCCAGCCCGTGTGAAGAGGGTCTTGGAGCCATGGTTCTGAATTGGAGTTGATGGCGCTTCCATACTGGAACGAACTGCCTGTAACTGGGTGTGCTGCGCGTATACTTGGCGCGAGTGGTGTTTTAGCATTGGTCTGGCGCCATTGTGAGAATGCAACGAACTTCGTTCTTGGTGCTGCTGTTGTACCTGAGGAACCGATGAGAGATTTGAAGGTATTGTTGGTGGCGTGCGGAATGGCTGATGTTTAGCTTGCTGTGATTGTACTGCATTAGGGAGTGACAACCAATGAGCTGGCTGGAACTGGTATTGTTGCTGATGCTGATGCCGCCAAATCTGGCTCTGAGTGTGGCTATGAAGAGCAACATGCTGAGGTGCTAGCAGGGTAGGAGCGGCAATAGTTCCAGGCCCCAGCGTCTGATAGCATATGTTGGACTGCAGCGACCTCTGAGGCAGCAGTGCTTGCGTGGGTGGGGCAAATCTTCTTCGTCTTTTTGTGCGCGATCGAGTCGTGGTGGACACAGATGAGACAATTCGGTCTTGCCCCTGCTGGCATCCGGGCAACATAGCTCTCGTGTTGTTTGAGCCGGCTGTCCTCTCTCTATTAGATATGCCAGATCCAGCGTGTCCTCCACTAGATTCATTCTGGCATTGTACGGGTGGAGTATCGCACGGTGTAGCAGGACGTCGTTCATCGGCGGGAGACAATGGGGAACTATTCCACACGCCAGACCCCTGAGCCGTCGCTGAAGCCTGTTTTGGTGAGGCCGCCGTCAACGTAAGGGGCGGGGCCGCGCCAGATGCGCTCTCGCGACCACCAGTGGATGGACGGGATGGTAGGGCGCTATTTGAGTCCTGATCCCTGTCGGTCTTCTGCCTGGACGGCAGCTTGGTGAAAGGAGGATCGAGGTGGGCGGGTCGTTTCACAACAATGTTGTCACTATCGGTGTTACCCTCGTCGGTAGAAGTCGCCGGGACCCTTGATGATTTGCCGTTAGAGGGGACGTGCTCTTCGTCGGCATTCGACATGATCGTTTCGTCTTGCGGCGGAGGTATCTCCTCTTCTGGTGATGGGGTAAGGAACTCCGCTATTCTCTCGCTGTCCGCAAGTCGGGCGAGGTGACGTGGAGAGACCTTAAGGGCAATGATTTGGGACCATCTTGGCTTTTTGGCCCTGGGTGCAACATCTCCGGGAGCTTCTGAATGCGCCCGTTTAAGTCTCGTTGACCGACAGAACCAGTCCGCGGTCCCTGAACGTGTCGGCTCCTGCGTTTGTGGAGTCATGTTGACTAGTGTCGATGATGATAGGGCAGTGGCAGTGGGTGGCTGCGGTGACTCATTGGACCCGGTTATGCATGGTAGTATAGCGTCCAGAAGCGCCTGCGGCGCCGCTTCCTGGCTAGAAGGGGCCGAGTCAAACATCACGTATGGCAATGTCCCGATGAAACCTCAAGTCGGGCAATCTTTGGAAGACAAGAGAATGTCTCTGCAGGGGCGAAAACTTCGTCGCGGTGACCGGCTGGGCTTGGCATAGATGGAGGTGAAAGTCGTGAGCGTGGTGCTGTGATGTGTGCATGGAATGTTGGTTGTCGCTGGTATGCGAAGGGAAGAGTGTTGTGGAAGAAAGGACAGCGTGACTCCCAGAAAGCGAGGTAGATTTCTGCACCAGAATGCACGCAAAGACCACCTTAGATAGAAAGCCGATCATGATTGGGTGACAATGACGGCCACGGCGGCAGTTGTGTGACGCAAGTGCCTTTCACGAGGCAGCCGATCCGTGGCATATGAAACGTGTATCCCGGAACGGAACAGGTCTTGGTGGCGGTGGTGGAAACTCTATTCATTCGCTGTTGGTGTTGCTCAAGAGCCTAATAATACATGAGCCCCAGGGAAATCCGCGGATCCCACTCCGGCCATGGTCGTTTGAGGAGTAGTGGAAATGCTGAAGCGAAACCCAAAATCCACATCGCTTCTCCCCACGCCTCGAAACCCAGAGGTGAGGGAACCTCTAAAGATAAACTGCAGTTGCATTGCTGCCGACCATGGAAATAACGCAGTAAGACTACTTAAAAGTTAAGCGTTCAGTCTCACTCGAAGATGCATTCGAACGTCGAGCCTTGGTAGACACCGTTCTGCACGGCACGAATGGCCATATCCAAGCGAAGCCAAGATATTGTATCGGTAGGTATGCGAACGATGATCCACTGCTTCCCGCCGAGTCAGGCGGAAACATCATGGGCGGTAGTCGAGTATGTCAACATGGCGCTGTCAGGAGAGGAGAGTTCCTATTTTCATGGCCTGGAGGTCAATTCGCAATGTGAGATTGACTCAGAGGAGTCGCATAAGGAATTCCACGATTATGTCAAGCGCGGCATCCATGTTAAGGGACGACAGACACTCTGTACACTCATCAACGGACGACAGAGTCGCCACTTCATGACCTACGAAATATGGGTCCTTCCACAAGGACCGAGAGCTGATGTACTGCTGGACTAAAGCCTCCGACATGCGAGCTAATGACTTTCTGCGAAGTCAGTGCTGGGCAGATGGCAACAATCGCCTCTATATTGAAGTACACATCATTGGGTCTAGCCCTGTAACAATCGATCCCAAGCGATTTCCCAAAACAGGCACGGTGCGAACGAAAAGAAGGCGAGAAGAGTCTCTAATACGGCGGAAGAGACAGAAATGCTTCGCTACCCTGGCGTAGATACGAATTCGATACCTATTCGCTCGGATGGGGATTACACGAACCGCAGACGCCCCTCGGCGAGCACTGAGTATGCTGGCGAGATGTACCACGGCATAGGCCTGAAACATGATGAGACAGAGGTGATATGTCACAGTCTCGAAGAATTTCTCGGTGTTCACTAACACTAGCGTCACTACCATTAGCATCACTACCACCACAGCCAGCACCATCACTAACACCAGCATTACCGGCGTCACCACCACTACTACCACCACCAACACTAGCATTACCAGGATCACTACTATTAGCATCACCAGCACCACCACCACCACCACCACCAGCACCACCACCACCAGAACCACCACCAAGTACTCAGCCCACCA